AGTAACAAAGCTGGGCACGTTTTGAACAAACGAACAGGATCTTTATTCAGGCAACAAAAAAGTAGACGGACCTTTCTCATTTAGTTGGTGTTACGCCTCTTTTCTCTCAGGATTGAATGCTCTAATATAAATACAATGATCATTTAAAAAGAAAACAGGTCCTTCCTATAGGTTGACAAATTGAGAACAGAACTAAGAAAATATGCTTGATTCCAGAATGTTAACTTGCTTTCTTTGTCTAGTGGAATACATTAATTCATGACCTTTGTTTTCAGACAGCATTGACAGGCTAACTTTCAGTCAATATCATAATCAGCCAAGGGTATTCCAGTTCTAGCCCATTCAAATGGAATGTTTTATATCCTTGTAGGCAGTCGTCATCTATTAATGTGAACAAAGAATAAAGTAACGAGAACAAAGTAATGTTAGTAGCCTCCAAGACAGTGAAAAACTAAATAATCAAATATTTTAAAGGCTCCTGTATTACTTAAAAGTAAAAAGTACAAATCACATAGAAAACATAGGGTATACGCACATATTCTCTCCTTTCTTTCTCTCAGGCCTGTACTCAAGCCAATATTTACTATTAAGTTTGAAAACAATCATCTTTAAACCTGCAACATTATACAGGAGTATGATAACTTTACTTTATATCTAGAAAAACTCATATACCACAGAAACAGAAGAAGCCCTTCAACATAGATCTAGAATGTGTGGCCACATGCTTACATTCACACAAAGTATAATCAAGACAATATAAGGAAAAATTACAAACAAAATACAGAGTTATACTACCACTAACATAAAAGAAACTAATCATTAAAAATGAAATAAGAGGAAACGGTATCGGAACACACAAAAAATCTTTTAACATTAATTGACATGTTAACTTTCAGTTTAACAAATAGTTACATTAATACTGTGCTTCTCCGTCACATTAGGAAGACAGCACAGCATAACAGTTCCTTGAACAAAGAGGAAACCGAAACATTTTAAAGCTAAAAAACTTTATTCTTAATTACAAAGAAAATATCACCAAGAAAAACTTTAAATCTGGCTTATTCACATATGATCACATGCGTGAAAGAGTGAAGGTATCATCATGACAAAGGAACATAAAATAAATACATATATACACTTATTCCCAGATACTGTCCGAGACATCACTTCCTCTAGCCACAACTTTGCAAACAGAGCCTCCAGCATCACCATCATCTTCCAATTTGGTGGTAGTCGATGCCTCGAGGTCTGCATTGATCCTCACCAGGTTTGTTTGGCCTCGACTAGCCTCTCCTGCAGGTGCCAATTCTCTTCCTCATATCTCAATGGAGGTGTGGCCCTTTGCCTTAGCTGATCCTTATCCCAGTTTACAGAGGGCCCAAGCCTTTGTCCACTCAAAGGCCATCTCCTGAAAGTGCCATTTGAGCAGAATCTGCCCTACCATGGGTTGGTTCATAATCACTTTTAGTGACTTGGAAGGGAAGTCCTCCCTTGGTCACTTTTGGGATGTTCCCCTAATTCCTTGGGCAGAGGTAGTGTGGCGACTATGTCAGTGTAAGATCTTCTTGGTTTGATCATTGGTACCAGCCCTCTAGGTTGAAGCTCTCTGGATCACAAGCAACTTGGCCTGAGGAGATGTCAGTGCCAGCCCAATCACTGAATTGATGAGTTCTCTGAATTTGGTAATGTTGACCAGCAACATGGCTTCATCCACGGGCTCATATACAGGGAGTATAAAGCTGACATCTTCAATCTCAGCAGTGATTGCATGCCACTCACTGTATAGGAAGCCTTGAGCATCCTGGATAATTGTCCTACTGATGATTCCTCAGTGAGGAATAACGATAAACATAAGGGATCTGATTCACCTGGTAAAGTTCCGTTTACTAAAAGTAAACTGATAGCTGAGCAAGAAAAAGATCTGCAGATTTCTTCACTATTTAAATATGCACTCCCAAAAGATGAATTGGAGAGAGTTCCAAATGGTTATTTTGTCAAAAATGGTATGCTTATGAGGAAATGGAGACCACCAGATGTGCCAGCTTCAGAGGATTGAACCATTGTTTATCAAATTGTTATTCCCAAAGCATATCCTTCTGAAATATTGAAAGTTGCCCATGAACTCCCCATGGGAGGTCATTTAGGTATCAACAAGACATGTGGCAAAATTATGATACATTTGTTTTGGCCAAAAATTAGGCAAGACGTTTCTCAGTTTTGCAAAACTTGTCATACCTGTCAGTTGGTCGGAAAACCTAACCAGAAAATTCATGTTGCTCCTTTGAAACCTATCCCAGCTTTTGATGACATATGCATGAAACTTATTGACGTGCATCACACACTTTCACATTATCTTGCATCTGCTGTATCTCATACATTAGAAGAGTAACTCATTAGAGTTACAGGTATAGACCAGTCCAGCCAGATCCCAGTTACTACTGTGTTGCTGGTATGCACCACAACCACACTCACTGTCCATGTGTAGCACCTTTTCTATCACTGTAATGTCTTTCCAAGCTGCTGCCAGAAAAATCCTGTGCATAGACCATTGTCAGTCACTGCACATACTCATGGTGGTAGTATGTACCCCATGCGAGAGACTGCATAGTCCTGCCCACTCACTGGAAGCCAGTTTTCTTGCCTGATATTTCCATTCTGTGTGAGTGGCTGTTTGGCACCCTCTTTGTTTTGGTTTAGCCTACCATAGTGGAGGTACCTTCATCACACCCTTTGTCAGTGGCGTTATTACTACAGATGTCACTGAACTATATTTTACATAATGTGTCTTTTTTAAAATTTATATTTTAAGTAATAAATTTGACGACGTTTATTTCACTTTGACCAATCCGAGGTCCTCTATAGCATGTGATTTTATTAGGTCCAAAGCGAGACAGAAAATCTGTATGTAGCATTGGCAAGGTTTTGCTTTCACGGCTAGCGACACTGGTCGTTGCTAGGAGCTTGATTTTTTATTTTTTTCTTTGTATTGTTTATGGCTCATTATTGTAATTCTATGTAAGAAGTAAAGTAAAAGATTAAAAGCTGGTATACACACATAATTACTGTTTTGATATACCTAAACCCAAAAGAATTTTAGAACTACTTCTTACGATGTAAATATCAATGCGCTAGTGATTTACTCAGCTATGACGTTCCGGGTTAAGCACAACTAATTTACATATATCAAATGTGCGTTACATCCACGGAGATTACTTAGGATTTCGCTTTGGAAACTTAAAAGGTGTTTTATAATTGTAAGAATATTTTTTAATGTGCTGGTGATTAGCAAAACAGTGTTACTAAGTAATATTAGCTTTCAATCAGAGCAAGCTGCCCACTTAGAGCAAAACCGTGGATGTTTGGAACTGCACTGGAAAGTTTCAAATAGTAAAACAACGGCTTCAGGCGTTAACTCCGAAATAGAAGTTTTACAGTAGAGTAATAGAAAATGCAAGAATAAGAAAAGATCGGCTAAGCTCTTAAGCACTGAACAGGTTACCCACAGTAATACAAACTAAGAAGAATAGAAAGATAGTTATAGTTGTTATATACCTCCCTGATGGGAAGTTTTATGGCAGAATAAATGAAGGTGTTAAAAGAATAGAAAGACAGTTGTAATTATTTCTCTAATGAGAATAACCATGGTGGAATAAACGAAAATATGACGGGAAGAAAAGGGTGGCCATAGCTTATAACCCCCTAATAAGAGCTGAATGGCAGAATAGCCGAAGTTACTATAGAAAGAGTAAATATACACAGAGGGCTATCTGTGCTTTGCCCACCCCGGCTATCGAAACCCGGTTTCTAGCTGTATAAGTCCGCAGACATACCGGGGGCTATAGAATAAGAAGGACAGTCGTAACTCTTAACTCTGTAATGAGGAGTTCAACAAAATGTTTCACAGATCTTATTGTTTTTTTTAACAGAAAGTGAGATTATTAAAACATTTCTTCTATAATGAAAAAACAAACAAACAGAAGTTGATTTATTTATTAATAATTCAGTGGAAAATAATTACATCTATCTTATTCGATGACGAGGAACCATTTTGAGACTAATAATGGCTGGAGACGGCTTGAATGGGTAATGAAGAAAAACTTTAATATAAGTTTTAATTTATAAAAACTAAATTGTTTTGATTAAAAACTTCTTTTGAAATGTCTAATAATACTATTGTTATCGAAATTTCCATTATTTTAAACGTGTTTAATTTTCTAAGCAAATTCAAATCCAAGAATATGCCAACAGTTCTGGCATTATAAGTAACACTTCTTGAATATATTTAGAAGGAGAAAAAATAATATTATAGCATAATATTGTATTGTATAATATTATTGTTTGTTCTAAGAGTAAAAGTCAAGAATGTAAATTTAAACAACTGTTCGAATGCCGTATTATTGGCTGAACTTATTTATCACCAGAGGGACATAAGCAAGATAAATTCAACTACTTACTAGGGTGTTGATCAACAGCTGCTTTTCTTCACTAACAAGCGGTATTGACATTGTCACTTTTAGTAATTAGCTCATTATTGGTCAAGAGGAAGTCAGCATTGCCACATTTTTACTGACTATAAATTTATTTTATAGTATGACCTCGTCAACAATGATAGAGTAATTGTTTCATATTTGTATTGCCACATTTTTACTGACTCTAAATTGATCTTATATTGTGACCTCGTTAACAATGATAGAGTGATTGTTTCATAACTGTATGCATGGAAGTTTTAATTAATATTCTTGAAGACATTTATTTTACATGGTTACAGCGATTTAGTTTATAAAATAACTACAGAAGTTTTATGGAAATTTGTAGTTATGTTGAAGTGATTAAATTATGTTGAAAGGCCTAAAATTTTCTTTATTTTGAGATAGTGCGTTTTCTCGGTATATTTAGACATTACATTTGATTAAAGTCATTTGGATTCAGTCCAGTTTCAATAAGAAATTAAATTCATTTCTGTGATACAAATACAAGTCTTTATTTTATCATTTTTGTAGTGGGGATATCTTTCTTGGGAATGATGATAGGAGGGCTTGTATGGGGAATTCTTGCGGACAAAATTGGCCGCAGGAGGACGCTACTGTCTGCTCTTTCGGCTAATGCAATATTTGCATTAATTACCGCCTTCATGCCTACCTACGGTTTATTTATGTTGACCCGACTCTGCAGTGGTATTGGGTAAGTACAGAAAACTATAAAAATTTCCGAAACAATTTGTAAAACTACTTTTGCTGATGTAAACTTTCGAAAATATTCTTTTTATTTTAAAAAAATCAACAATCTTTAATAAACAACCGTAGTACAACAACTTGTTTGAATTTTTTTTGTATATAAAACTCTTCAAGTTAAACTTGAAGATGGAATAAATCACTTCTGGGAACTTACTTTAATTTACAGAGTAGGCGGATCTCTTCCGATTGTGTTCACATACTATAGTGAATTTCTAATCAGAAGGCATAGAGGGCGCCATCTCAGCTGGTTGCTGATATTTTGGGGTGTAGGTGGCGTATTTGTCGCCCTCATGGCATGGGCAATAATACCTCGAACAGGTAAGTTTACTGTTGAACAAAAATGTATGAAATATTAAACATCTGAAAATATCAACAATCTGGTTTTAAAACTCAATATTAGGTGAAAAATAGTAATAATGTGATTTTCATAAGTTTAAGTACGGTATTGAAAAACACAAAATTATCCATAAAAACAGAAAAAAAACAACACCAAAACTGATTGTTTCACAAATTCAGTCATGTTCCTGCTACACAGTTTCAATTACTGTTAACTTATCGTGATCAAACATAACAGAACAATCAAGTGTTTTCAAACTCTTATCAAGTAACGTTATCCTGAAAAAACAACAACAACAAAAAACGGTGGCTCTGTCGGTTACAGTCATGTTTTTAACTCCTTAGTAAGTCTGAGGTGACCTTTATTTTAATAGGAAATGGCTCCTCAGTGGCACAGCGGTATGTCTGCGGACTTACAACGCCAGAAACCGGGTTTCTATACCTGTGGTGGGTAGAGCACAGATAGCCCATTGTGTAGCTTTGTGCTTAACTTCAAACAAACAATAATATAAATTAATGTGTATGTGTTATATGGCTAGGATGTATTAAGTTAAATATGTTTTTACAATACCCTGTATGTGAAAAGACAAAATTGAAGTTTATTAATAAAAACGCAATTTTTTTTTATCAGTTGTAATGGCATAAAAAATAACAATTTTTACACATTTCTGAAATATTGCTAGGAACGAAACGTTATGCATATTTTTTACTTATTGAACTTTTCAGGTTTTACTATTCTTCTGTCAGAGAAACTTCACTTTGCAAGCTGGCGAATCTTTTTGGTAATATGTGCCCTTCCTGCTGTCATATCTTCAATTGGACTGTTTTTTCTTCCAGAGAGTCCAAGATTTCTTTTGGAGGTATATGTTTCAATATTCTATTGCATGAAACAGTTAGGATTAGTTAGTAAACATATACTATTTATTAGAAGCCAGGTTTTGAAAATTACCATGGTGTTTTTGTTTCTCCTTTGTGAACTCTACAAATCTCATCTCTACACAGTAAACAAGTGATCATTTGCAAGCCAGGTTTTGAAAATTACCATGGTATTTTTGTTTCCCCTTTGTGAACTCTACAAATCTCATCTCTACACAGTAAACAAGTGATCATTTGCTTACTCGTTTTTCTAACCATATTTTTGGGTCTGCTGTCAAGTTGTTTCAGAAAAATGGTAAATACATTTTCGCTCACTCATTCCAATATTGCAAAAACGGTATCTTAACTGTTCATTCAAGGGTAAATATTATTCCGATTACGTGCCCAAAAAAGTCCATGAGTAATTATGAGAGTTTGAAAATTCGGGAAGAATTTTGGGTCAAGGAAGAGGGAAAAGGAAAAAAAATACGGAAGGAAAAGAAGAGAGGAAAAATAAGAAAGAAAAGAAAAGGAACGTAAAAGAGAGAGAGAGAGAGAAAAAAAAAAGGAAATAGAAAAAGAGTGAAAAAGAAACTATATTGACTATTGGGTTTTGTCATGGAAGCTGCGCCACTCCGGCTGTTGTCAATCGGTCAGACATGGTGAAAGACTAGGTAAGAAATTTAGAATGCTTGATAGAGGGTGCGGGTAATAACATCTGATTTGAAAAATAATATTTACTTTTGTTGGCAGTGTGTAAAAATGTAAGAGTAAGTGCATTATGTAAATTAAAAGTGCATTAGAATCACAGTTGGGAGATTTTTTATGCTGTTGTAATCAAATAACTTTAAACGACTGGGAATGAGATAAAAAAGAAGAATCGTCTTTAAGTTACTGATTCATTTTCTTGAGCAACTGCTTATATGATTTTCACGGTATTTAGTTTGTTGACCCGCATCGGTCGATAATTGTGTAATTTTCATCAAACCATTGATCTGTATTTTAAAATAACGTACCAATCCAAATAGCTTTGCCCCACCAGTGGTTTCGAAACTCGTGGTGGCAGAGCACAGATAGCCCAATGTGTAGCTTTGTGCTTAATACAAACAAACAAACCAAACAATTTTAATTTCAACTCTAATTACACAGGCCTGCGAATTGAAACTTCATAAAAGTTGCTTTGGTTTTAATAACTAATTTTCCACAATTCAGCTACACAGATTTCGAAAATAATATTATTATTTTTTTTCTATCACGGAAGAATTTTTTACAAATCTGGAATAAAAAACAATTCTTACTTATATCAAATTATTATTTCGTTTACCACAATGAACATTTCTATTATTATGTTTCTTAACAAAAATACAAACAAACTGAAGAATAGTCAAGTTTGATGTCAAACGAATATGCATACTCATTTATCCTGATTTGTGTGTGTGTGAAATCTACGTCTTTTAGTCTCAAAACTACGTGCTGTCGTCTTTCTTTTATGTATTGCGTTATGATGTTTTGTGGAAAAATCTGTACGTGATGGAGGAAAATGGGTATCATTTTCGGATTCAGCGTACAGGAATTACTGTAGAACATGTAAAAATATCAAGACAATCGCAGACCTGTGTTATTTTTACCTTATTTACTGCAGATGTATCAACTAATCCTAATACAAATCGCAAAACTTCTGTAATTGGTATAAAAAACCACATTACGTTAGTGACATAAGTTTCAGAAGCTGGAATTTTTTTATAGTATTTTTAAACGAGCTTATTAGAACGTATTGATCTCTCTGCATGTATGGCTGTGCGCTACTAAATCCTTTGTCCATATCTGACATGTTCATGCGTATGACGTAAATGATATTAAACTTTTGGTAGTTTTATAATAAGAACATAGCCCCACAGTGATGCTAAGGAAGTATCTTACCTTCACTTTTATGCCCACCGGTCGTTCAGCGGTAAGTTTGAGGACTTATAGCGCTAAAATTCGGGGTTCAGTTCATACGTTTGGTTGAGCACAGGGAGCTCATTGTATAAGCTTGTGCTTAACAAAATTTACAACCTATCCGATCTAAGTTGATCGTATATTTCATTTTCACAGATAGGATTTGAACAGGGGATAAAATTTGGCACACAATAGTACTATTAGGATGGAGACAGCGTGATTCAGTTGCTTTGTGCTTTGGACTCGTAGTCGGATGGTTTCGAGTCCGACACTTACTCACGACATGCTGTTGTGTCTTCGAGCAAGACACTTTACCCCGATTGTTTCAGTTTACTCAGTTGTATGATGGGTACCAGTTGATAGATGGAAGGTTAATCTGCGATGGACCGCCATCCCGTCCAGGGAAAATGTGTCACCATTCTCATACATTTGTGCCGATATAGTCGGCATTCAGCATCAATTCCAAAGGGATTTCCGTGTGTGTATGTGTGTGGCCCCAATAAGAATAACGGTTAAACTGTTATCCTCCAAAGACTCAACTCCAACGTGTCATGGAAATATGAACAAAGCATTTACTAAGTCTTATAAGTTCCCCTCCCCAACTCAAACTCAGCGGTAAGTCAGCTGACTTACAATGCTAAAAACCGGGTTTCGATACTCGTGGCGGGAACAGCACAGATAGCTCATTGTGTTGCTTTGTGACTTACAGCAAGGAGTCTTATCAAATTGTTTTCGCTACTTTGTTTCAACAACTTCCACTGTAATTCTAATTAATTGGCTTACTTTTATTTCTTATAAAACAAAGCTATTTCTGTTAATCATTTTTATACCAGTGAGGGGAACAGTTAAACTAGATGTTTTCTTTAATGGTAATGCATGTTCAAGGTCTACTTTGTAGGATAAGCTCGGTAAAATGTTTACTATTTTTATACTCTTTATAGAAAGGACGTGACGGTGAAGCAATGGTCATTTATCAAAACATCTTCAAAACCAACCATGCTCACTCACCAGGATCAGAGTACCAGGTATGTGAAGATAAAGAGTTCATTCTACTAACTATAAGGTCCAGTCTACTAATTCCAAAGTTCAATCTACTAACGATAAGGTCGAGTCTACTAATTCCAAAGTTCAATATATTGATTGTGATGTCCAGTCTACAATAATTTCGAGATACAGTCTGTACTGATAACAAAATTCAGTCTGTATACTGTTTTCAGGATTCGGTCTATATATTGATTGCAAGGTCCAATCTACTAATTCCAATGTTCAGTGTACCAATTTACAAAATTCAGTCTACTAATTTTTAAAATCATTTTACTGATTTCAAAGTTCAGCCTACAATAATTTCGAGGTTCACTCTATATACTGATTTCAGGATTCGGTGTATATACTGATTGCAAGGCCAAGTCTATAAATGTTAAATTTAGTCTACTAATTCCAGTGTTCAGTCTACTAATTCCAAGGTTCATGATATATGTATATATATGTATTAATATTAGGGTTCAATAATAAAGTAATTCACTCTATACTAATAACAAGGCTCAGTCAAATGATTCCAAGGTTTTTAGAAGAACGACAGTTTGAGAACAAATGATGTTTGTGAGTAAAGTTAACTAATAGATTTGACATTTGAACTGTGTTACTTGAAACTTCAATATTCTTAAACACACATAACCAAGACAATTTCTGTCGTATTTTATTAGTTAACAGTTGTGCGTGATTCTACATTTAATATACTTAAATAACGTTTCAGTCATGCCTGATCATTGGTACATCATCAATAACTGTTTATATTCACAGATGTTTGGTGTTGGTAATCGTAAAAGTTTGACTAGTTTTTTTTTCTAGTATGAGTGTAATTTAGTGATGAGTTCATTAAATCGCTATTCTAGTGCAAAAATATCACAGTATAAGATCTTAAGCTAGGAAACATTAAGAAGCATTCCGTTACAGTTAGCGATGTTTAAAAAAACAGTTCTTAACTTTTCTAATACTGATTCCAACAGTGGCATTAATGGAATTTTTACAACACATTTTTGTACTCTGGTGTCGACGCGGAAGACCATATTTTATCATTTCAATACCTACAGCACCAAAGGTAGAGAAGCATGAAACTTAATCGACTTAAAGCCAGCAGCAACAATCTAATTATCACATTTAAAGTTTTTTTAGAAACATATAAATAAATTCCTTCTAGCCTTTTCGTCATGCATTCACTGCGTTGTTTTTTCTAGCTTTCTGACATGGAAATGCCAACAAGACAACTGTTTACCATCCCTTTGCCGACCAGGAGAGGTCTTCTTGCGGAATTAATCGATGCCTTAGATTCAGTAAGTGCTGGTCGAAACGCTTTGTTGGAGTTTTTATTACATAGTCATAAGGACTTACGTTAAGCTCTAGAATAGATTTGGAAAGAATAAGGAGCGTGTTATGATTGGTTGGTATTCATTTAAATTAGGAGTTAGTGAATAATGGAGTGACTCGATAATCAAACGCTGGTTTGATGATATGTGGGAAAGAAAAAACGTTGCTATTACTGTGGGATGATGACCATTCGTGGCTGGAGTGAATATAGTAGTGATAAACAACGGTTAGTATTAGATTATGAACGCTTTAAAAATTGAAATAATTTCTGGAGTTTGTGTGAAGATAATAGTGCCTTAAAGCTTCATTATCTGAAAATGCTGTTTATGAAGTAATCATAAGATAGTCTCGTTCAATTATTGGTATCGTTGTCACGTGTAAACTTGAGCTAATATAAAATATCAACAACCATGTGGAGATCGTTATGTTGTTTTTTAATTAAATATTTAGTAGTCTGCGATTATATATATTGTGTTTTGCAGTTCGAATGTCTAATTTTTTCCACTTACAATGAAATGTACCTATATCTAAATTATTAATTTTTTGTTCTGATTTCCGCTTTTCTTCATTAGTTCTGGAATTCTCTGATGCAGATCGTTTGTCGTCCTTACACTCGAATAACTGCGGTGTTACTCGTGGTTTGGGTAACAACTGCTTTTGGGTAAGCATTACCTCAGAGCTCCTTTCCGATTTGGAGTTTCTAGGGTGCATTGTATGTATGTAAAAAAAGTATTCATTAAACACTGAGCAAGACATTACTATTTTTGAATGTAAATTTAAAATTATCGAATGAAAGCTATAATTGTAATGTTACTCTGACATATATCGGTTGTGTGGGCAGCTGGTTGAACGAATATTTTTATTGATAACTGTATTTTCAATGTTTTTTGTTTATCTTTATTATGATTAGGAGCCTATACGATCACGTAAGTATATTTATTAATTAGTTACCTTTTTTTCTTGAAGATGGCAGCAGATTAGCAGCTGAAAACATATGTTAAAAACTAGTTGTAAATAATGTCTAGTAATAAAAAAAATATTCAGCTAAACAATAATTAAACGATTACTAACCAGTCGCCACAAACATAACGTAAGTGTTTATTTATTTTATGTCATTACATATGCAAATGAAGTATTCTCTTAGATTGTTTTTTTGTTTAAATTCCTAAAAGAGCCAATGGTGGTTAGCTTCATAGTTTAAATTTGTGAGTATGTTTTACTCAGGTACCCCTTATCTTTTATATGAGGGCGTAAGATAAAATACTTGATATTTAATTAAAGAGGTTTTGAGAATTGAAAACTCATGTATATTAAGAAGAATTCCTGAAAAGAAAAAAAAATAATATTAATATAACTTTTATGGCGTCATCTAGTGAGAATAAATATTTTTTTAATTTACATTTTACTCTTTTGAATAAAAACTCAAAATTTTCCCAACTAAACACAGTTTTCACCCCCTATAATGGATTTTACAACATATTGAAATGTAAAAAATACAAAAAGTGCTGCTATATCATAATTTCAACTTTACGTATCATGATAAAAGTGGGATTTTAATTTATGGTATTTTAGTAGATTTTTTTTTTCTTCACACTGATTTTTTTAGTTTTATGGGAGATAAATCAAACATTCTTACACCAAAGAAACTATGTAACCTTGTCACAGTTAATACAGCTCGAAAACTGCAGATTGTAGTATGAATTTTGTTGCCGAATATGAAACATGATTAATACTATAACTTTTGTAATTATTTAACCTTTTGACGTGTGATTTCACACATGCAGCTTTTACGGGATGTCCATTTGGTTCCCAGAATACATCAAGAAGATTACAGTGGACGAGTTTCGTGCCCGAGCTTCTAGTGAGGTCAACAAGACTATCCACAACACAGTATTCAATAACACCATGGAAAATATCCATTATTATAACACTTACTTCGAAAATGTACGTTTTGAGGACATGGTGCTGAGCCACTGTACGTTTACCAATTGTACATTTCTAAATTGTACGTTCAGTGATGTACGCTCCAGTAAAACGTTCTTTCGCCGAACTGAATTCTACAGTGCTTACTTCTACGATACTGATTTCCATGAATATCGATTTCAGGATTGTAACTTGGAGAATTCTCATTTTATCAGCACGACGGCTGGTTGCACCATCGACTTTGATATCAACTACAACCTCCAAACAGTATTTCTCGAGAATCTCTTCGCTCAGATGGCTATCATCCCAGGCAATATTTTGTCTTCTTATGTTATTGACCGTCTTGGAAGAGTGAAAACCATGGGTAAGTAACTTGTATTTCACTGTTCATAAATTTATTATACGACCTACATTATATTTCATTTTATTTTCTTGTAATGCTCACAAAGTTAATCAAAACCGATGTAGTAAGGCATAGTAACAAAATTATAATTCACATGCAGCTATAAAGTGTAGGTTATAGAAATGAGAAAGTCAGAAATAAAATAACAATAAAGTTGGCCAAGATTTCAGTATATGTCCATACAATGAGACAGGTTTACATCCCGTTTGGTTTTATTGATGTTATTTTGAACTTCCTCTCATTTCGAAAAGTATTTTATGCTTATTAGCATCAGATCTATTATCTATAACCAGCGGTTTAGCTGAAACTTGACAAGAGCATTTAAATGGTTGTCCAAAATGAAAAGAGATTTGGCGTATCAAATGATTCCAGCGCATTCCCATTGATAATTTTGTAGTTTATCTGTGTAAGTTCACGAGAAACAACAATTTTTGAACACCTTGTTTTGATTTGATTTGTTATGAATTTCGCACAAAGCTACACGAGGGCTATCTGCGCTAGCCGTCCCTAATTTAGCAGTGTAAGACTAGAGGGAAGTCAGCTAGTCAGCACAACCCACCAACTCGTGGGCTACTCTTTTACCAACGAATAGTGGGATTGACTGTCACATTATAACGCCACCACGGCTGAAAGGGCGAGCATGTTTGGTGGGACGGGGATTCGAACCAGCGACCCGCAGATTGCATGTCGAGCGCTCTAACCACCTGGCCATGCAGGGCCTATTAAAATAAGATACCCCTAAGTAAAGTAACACACGAATACTATGATACAGCTGCTTGCTATTAATCTAAATAGTGGCAAAGTCTTTCGGTTCAAAAACAGTTTAAATGGTGCTACCATGGAGAATGTCACTAGAATACCAGAGCTGTTGCCAGGCTACATGCCAAACGGTTCCAGGAGGAACGTCGTATTTCAATCAGATGAAAGGAAATATGTGCCAGCCGTTGCGTATTATAGGCTTATTTACTCGCAGGTAGCATGTGGGAATCCCAATTATATCAACCAGTATTTACAATGAAGTTCTCCTGCTGGCGATTTTCACATTTAGGCAGCACATTGAACACAGTTGTTGACTGTTTGCCACCATTTCGTAACACTGTTACGATGATGACGTCATCGATATTCATGTCTCTAAGTATAAGTGTTTCTTTTGTTTTACACCTTTTCAACTGACATTTTTGGTGTGCATGATGGACATTTCTAAAAAGTTTCGAGGGACTTGACCTTGAATTTGAATGACCTCAATGATATTGTCAAAGAGTAGGACCACGACACTTTATTCCATACCAAAAACAAATATTTTTCTATACATTTTACATTTCTGAATTTTTTACCTGTCGATGGAGAATCACTATATTATTATTTACCTGTCGATGGAGTTTTGAATTATTGTATTATTATTTACCTGTCGATGAAGTTTTGAATCATTGTATTATTATTTACCTGTCGATGGAGTTTTGAATTATTGTATTATTATTTACCTGTCGATGAAGTTTTGAATCATTGTATTATTATTTACCTGTCGATGGAGAATTGAATCATTGTATTATTATTTACCTGTCGATGGAGTTTTGAATTATTATTATTATTTACCTGTCGATGAAGTTTTGAATCATTGTATTATTATTTTTTCAAGAAAAGTTCGCCTTTTTTGTCTTTGGTGATTAGCTCAAAAATGTGTGAGTTTGGTCATTGTTTGAAAAGATGTTGACCCTCTCTTAAGTTCACTCATGTAAGTCTTAGCTTGATTTCTGGGGTTCAAACTTCTTGTTGTGAACAGTTGATAGTCTCTAAGTTCGAGGTCCGACAACGTTCACACATCCACTTGGTGAAGTAGAAAAACAAAAACATCATTCCAAGTATATATTTTATAAACAATACATTAACCGTCAGGCTTGTCTTTGTAATAGTCATTAACCGACAGGCTTATTCTGGCTTGAAAAAGTGCGTGTGCTCGAAACGTCGCCAAGATAATAAACTTCAATCATAGTTTTGTTAAGGTGATTCATCTCCAATAGACTAGTTTCTTTATTGTATCACCTTCTCATTTTTCTACTTATATATATATAGCGTACACTTAGAACACATAAATGTAATACTACACACTTAAAATACAGAAATATACATACATCTTCAATCTGTGTTTCATGTATTTTATATGCAGCCGTACACTAATAACATGTAGCACTATGCATTTAAGTTACTGGGGCGTATAGACTTCTCATTGTGTTACACGTTTTTAATGATCAATGTTTTTGTGTAAACATTTTATCAAAAGTTAAAAAAATTTTAACCTGCAATCATCAATGGCTGTGTTTATCTATACTGTTTTCCGTATGTCACCCTTGAAAGTGATAACATCTCTTATTATCCGTACGAACAAGAGCGTGATTACTTTCACATCTCTTATTTCACCAGTAAGCATCGTAATTATTCAATAATATATTGTATGATAGCTATGAATATGATACTTTCACTGTAATCTCTCGCCAGCAAGAACTGTACTTCGTTTGTTCTGTAATTTTCAGCAGCAAGAGGCATACTCTGTTTGCATTATATGTTGTCAACTACAAGAATTGTGGTTACATTGTAATTTGTAAACAGCAAGAACTGTACTTCGTTTGTTCTGTAATTTTCAGCAGCAAGAGGCATACTCTGTTTGCATTATATGTTGTCAACTACAAGAATTGTGGTTACATTGTAATTTGTAAACAGCAAGAACTGTACTTCGTTTGTTCTGTAATTTTCAGCATACTTTGTTTGCATTATATGTTGTCAACTACAAGAATTGTGGTTACATTGTAATTTGTAAACAGCAAGAACTGCACCAGAGATGTCCGAAAAGTTCGTGCCCCGACCTAAAGTAAAAATTGTAATATATTATTTTTTGTGATAACTATTAAGTTTGAACATTTTTATGGGTAAACAACACGTATTATGTAACTTAAGTTTATTTTGTGCTTTGTGGAGTTTTGAAGGAAAGTAGTGAGCATTGTTAAACGTCACGGAGAAGATCCAACTTCGTGTCGTGATAAACTATTCTGTTAAAAAGAAAATTACACCACAAGAAATCCGCCAGAACCTGGACACAACATTAGGAGCGGGTGCTTCATCTTATTCAACAGTGAAAAAGTGGTGTGCTGAGTAAATAATGATGTGAAGATGATGCGAGGTCAGGTCAGCCATCGACATTGACCACAAGAGGAAGGATAGATACAACTCATGATTTTATTATATAGGATAGATGAATTGCCATTAAGAAGTTAGCAGAGGAAGTGGGAATCAGTAAAAGTACTGTAGCTAGCATTCAGAGTGAAAGTTTGGGCATGGGTAAGGTTAGTGCCAGATGGATTCCAAAAATGTTGTTACTTGAGTAGAAACGGATCCGAAATGTTGAAAGCCAATATATTCTACAAAGGATTCAATAGGTTCGTAACTTTTGATGAAACGTGGATTCACCACTCCGACCCAGGAATAAAAAGGGAAAGTCTGCAATGGAAGCACCCAAGTTTACCCAACCCAAAGATGTTAAAAGACACAACCATCTACTGCGAAGGTCATGGAATCAGTTTTTTGGGATGATGCCCTGGGCGTTTTACAAGTTGATTATTTGGAAAGGAGATTACTATGCGTCCTTAACCAGCAATTTGCGTAAAAAAACCCAAAGAAAAGAGGAGAGGATTGCTCCAAAAAAGATGTGCTCCAGAACAGTGCCCAAGCTCACAAATCGCGGGCTGATTTGAAAACTATTTATAATGCTGGCTACGAATCACTCAGTCACCCTCTTCCTACTCACCGGATTTAGCTCCAAGTGACTATTTTCTGGTTTTCATCTTAAAATAATCTTTCTGAAAAGTCGAAGATTGTAGAATGATAATTATCTTATACATACCGTCCAGTCATGGATTAAGGACCAAGAATACGAGTTTTTTCAGAAGAACATAAAGACCTTAGAGCTCTGATGGCTTTTTCATAAGAATATAAGGACCTTAGAGCACCGATGGCACAAGTGTATAGACTCAGGAGTAGATTATATTGAAAAATATATCATAGTCGAACAATTGTCTATTTGTTTTATAGGTCGACCCACGAACATTTCGAACTCCTCTCGAAGTTGTTTAATATGTCTGCTGTCAGTAGTAAGAGGTATGGTTGATCTATATTGTAGCTTGCCAGCGTCGAGAAATGCCTTTGGTTTACATTGTAACTTGTTAATGAGAAGATCTGTGGATAGTTTATAGAGCGTATTAGGACAATAATTATCAGGACAGTGTATATGGAATAATATACGCTATTTAGCAAAATTGGCCATTTTTTTACAGATATAAATTGTAGCTAAGGTTAATCATTAAACTGTAGAGGTGTTTTCTTCCAAAACATCGAATATGAAAATAGTTTTAATGTTCTCATTACATTTTTCTTCTAAACGTCACATTCCAACCCTTGTCTCGATTTCGCATTATTCACAAATGTTATACTGTGGTGATAACTAATTCAAACTAAGTTCCTACCAAGTCAAGAATTTATGCAAGAATTGAAAACTCTTTTTTTTTACTTTAAGTGGCCCAGTTTTGTTCACGTAACTGTAAACACAACTATTGCGGCAAGCTGAATACAATGGGAAACAACTAAACACAAATGATCAGGAAGTTAAAGATAATAAAACTACCCTAGATTTCCAAGAGCATTGCTTTACTACCATAGACTTCTGCAACTAACAACAACATTATTCAATAAACATAGTGATTAAATAAAAAGTCTGGAGGAATTATTATTTTCATTATAGAAAATAAAGAGACATTTTTTTTTAAATGAAGGTCTCCTCTTACTAGAAAATTAATGGGTTATATTTTTACATTATTTGTTAAGCAAATTGACGCTAGAATCTCAAATTCACGTCTATATCACTGATTCTATTTTTGATATTTAAATTTGGTGAAAGAAAAGAATCTGTAATATCATCATTAAACAGTCGGTTCAGTGCGTAATGATACCATAATATTATTTACATACCTAAAGTAGTTTAGGTTACTAAATGGTGAATTAAAAGAAATTAAAGCACCATAAATTCAGTTGATAATTTATTGGTGATTAACTTAAATCTCTCCACTTCATTTCTTAGTGCATGCTGCATATTCTGAACTTTTTTTTTGAATGCTTACAATTGTTTCATGTTTATATATATATATATTTATTCTAACTGGAGTTTTTTAACCGTGTGTTAACTGTTTCTTTCCTCTTCCTGACCAGTTTTATTGACTGTCTTTAATAGTTTACTTCTTATTCCGCATTTTTTGACTAATCTCAATATTTCTTTCTTTTTCCTGTTTAGCGTTTTCTGTATCTGATTATAGTTTCTTTCTTGTTCCTGACTAGTTTGAGTGCTTTTCTTTAATGGCTTACTTCATATTCGCTGTTCATAATTAATCTGCGCACCTCAGTTTATTTCCTATTTGAGCATTTTCATTTTTCGTATCTGCTTACAGCTTCTTCGTTGTTCCTGACTAGTTTGAGTGCTTTCTTTATCTGGTTCTTGGATACTAAAGCTTCTGTCATTGGGTTTGAAGCTGTTTTCAACTTCATTTCAATCTCTGGATGGAACGCTTTGGATGTTATTACAACTGAGTCTTACTGCGCAACTCTCAGGTAAGCGTGAAGCGGCTGCACTAAGTATAAAAATATGTGCTGCTTACATGAAATAAGAGTGCTGTGTTGTATGCCATTACAAGTGTTTAGTTTTCCAAAAAAAAACATCGTTATTGTATGTTAGACTTTCAAAAATATAATTGTGAAACATTCCATATTATCCGAACGTAGTATGGACAGCTAACGGGCTTAGTGGACACATGACGGTGACATTTATTAGCGTGAAAAGAATTAGTTCATCCAATGAGGCACGTACAAAAACTAGAGCGATTTGAATTTCAATGTAATGTTTTCCGCATGTCTCCTAGGATGTGCTGGGGAGAAGGACACGTCCATTCGGAAAAATTCAAACCTCAATTGAACTATGATGAAAACATGTAGTAATTTGGACAAACATCTTGGGCATTAATGATTAACACTAGAAAAATACAAAATATTCGAAATGTGAAAGTGTTACATTGCAAATTCCTTTATCAGTATCCTCAAAAATGATAACATAGTTTTTGATATAGTTTAAATTTATATTTTTAATTGAAAAGTAGTTTGTAAAGCTGTATTACTTTTCAGCTACATTTGGTGCTTTGTTTTATTTCCGTTGCAGTGGCATAACTATTAATGGGACAACATATTAGCTTACAGTATATAAAAAAACCCATTCCATAGCCAATTTAGAGTCGCAGTTTCGAGTATTTGTAGTTCTCATTAAGCACGTTTACTCCAAAATAGAGAACTTTAATCAGTAGAGCTTCTGGTGTGTGTGGAAGTTCGCACGTTAAGTTCCACTAGATGACATGTTTACCATCGGTCGAGCTAAAATGTTTAAAGCTGATGTTGCTGGAAACGAAACTGCAGATATTAGGCTGGCCATGATATAGGTTTTCTTATGTAATATGAGCTGTTAGAAAATGTTCAAATTTTTACGCCCTCAAAAGCTGATTTTTAACACTTTCTTGGAATATAGTGCCCTTCAAAATAAGTGATCCGGAACCGGATATCAAAGTTTGATCTTTGATTTTTATTTCTTCGGCAAAAATTAACATAAACAATGAGACTAGAATAGTTCTGAACATAACTTGTCTGTTTTATGAAATTGGCCTTTTTTTGTTACAAATAAAGAGACATGTTTTAATACTTTCAAAAACATTATTTATGAAACACGTAAGAACAGGTTATGCATACATTAAAAACAAAATGTTTTTTGTAAGATAAAAAAGGTCCAAGAAAAAATACAACATCCACACGTTTACGCTATTTTTCCAAACCATTGCATGCAAAAAAGACTAATTCGGTTAAGACATCTATCCGCAAGCACGTACAAATCCTCCCTGATTATAGTTTTTTTTAATATTAAATTAGACGCATTTCTAGATTAGTGTCACAGAGTGGTGTGACACCTTCTTTAAACATTTCTAGATTAGTGTCACAGAGTGGTATGAAACCTTCTTTAAACATTTCTAGATTAGTGTCACAGAATGGTATGACACCTTCTTTAAACATTTCTAGATTAGTGTCACAGAGTGGTATGACACTTTCTTCAAACATTTCTAGATTAGTGTCACAGAATGGTATGATACCTTCTTGAAACATTTCTAGATTAGTGTCACAGAGTGGTGTGACACCTTCTTTAAACATTTCTAGATTAGTGTCACAGAGTGGTATGAAACCTTCTTTAAACATTTCTAGATTAGTGTCACAGAATGGTATGACACCTTCTTTAAACATTTTTAAATTCGTGTCGGAGAGTAGTATGACACCTTCTTTAAACATTTCTAGATTAGTGTCACAGAATGGTATGACACTTTCTTCAAACATTTCTAGATTAGTGTCACAGAATGGTATGACACTTTCTTAAAACCTTTCTAGATTAGTGTCACAGAATGGTATGACACCTTCTTTAAACATTTTTAGATTAGTGTCACAGAGTGGTATGACACCTTCTTAAAACCTTTCTAGATTAGTGTCACAGAATGGTATGACACCTTCTTTAAACATTTCTAGATTAGTGTCACAGAGTAGTGTGACACCTTCTTTAAACATTTCTAGATTAATGTCACAGAGTAGCGTGACACCTTCTTTAAACATTTCTAGAGCACATAGCTGCGATGTTTAACTGAAGACGATGGGAACACACTTTCAACTTTCAAGTACGTTAAAAATTTTCCATATCAAAAAATAAGAAAAGTGCAAACAATGAACTAAAGATGGCTATAAGAAATCTATTTTAATATGATATAACTTGGATTTTTTTACTTATTCTATATTCATTTCGATGCAATTGTCTTTTTGATTCCGGAGCTTTGTGTGTTTGTGTCTTCTTCGAAAACACCTCAATGTACTCACAGTTTTTCTTTGTCTTCAGAACTACAGGATATGGTTTTCTGAGTGCGATTAGTCGCTTTTCGGCCATTCTTGGAAGCCTGACGTTCGCAAACTTCATCAACATTAGCAAAGCAGTGCCCATGCTGACCACCGCCATTGTTCTTTTTACTGGATGTCTAATTGCTTTCAAGTTGCCCGAAACTAAAGATACACTTATGTGATGTGGGTATGGAAAATTTGTTCCACTTGTGTCAAGTTCCGGATTGTACTTACTACGTGTTCTGCAGTCACTCCTCTTCAGTGAAGGGAGAAGGAGATCTGATGGGATGGCCGGAATTTTGTCACCTGAAACAAAACTTACGATAATATATGAACAACACTCTTAAATTACAGTGGGATATGTGGTGGGCAATACTGCAGAAAATTTTAGTTAAAGAAAACTTTTAATTTCCAAACTGATTTTTTTCTCGAAGAATGAAATCCCAATATGGTGATTGATATCTTTATCTTCTCGGTGTATATTGGTGAATTACGATATAAAATAGTGTTAATATAAAATAAAATTAACAAATTTAGGCTTTCAAGAGAGAGGTTTAACAGTTGATTCCGGTCTTGGTAATTTAATTTATAAAACAAAAACAAATCGTTTAGAAGCCAATATATTATTGTAAGTCTTAAATAGCTATGGGAAAACTCGACATTGTTTATAATATAATTGTTAATAAAGTTACTGAATGATGTTACATTCCCCACACCTGATTGTGTGGAAGTTGTTAAAGTCTCCTACAAATAATTTACAAATTGATAAAGAAAACAAAACAATAATCCCGTTTTTTACTCAATGTGCTTGTGTTTTAGGTTTTATCATTAAATTTTTAATATATTTATTGTTTAAATCGTAGAACCCACCACTCTAGTCTTGTGTTATTTTTTAGCGTCTACTCTATGTTTTACAGGTATCAGGTTCTTATAATGTGCCACTTGCCATCTATGTTATTGTAAAACAAACTCGGAAAAGGCCAAGGACTTGCTTTAATTATAACAAATTCACCAGTGTGTAAAACATTCAAGCTCATGTGCCATAAAATAAAAGTTTGTGTTTAATTATATAAATAAAAAACATAACTCCTGGCTGTGGAAAACTCTGTAAAATTCATTCAGAAACATATTTTGTTATGTATAGTGCTTATAATTATTGTTGTTTAGAGATTTCTAATTAGCGTATGGTATCAGTATATGATATCATGATAGTGATTTAATCAGCTATTTCTATTGAATAACTAAATACTAAAATGATTTAATTCATTGTTGCAAGCAATCGTGTGAATTATGTTTGCAATCAAAATTATAATAGTATTGTTTCAGTTGATAAACCGTTGGAGGTCGCTGAATACCATGAGTCCTAAACAATGTTTACTTTAAACAAATTAGTCAAAATTTATTTATTTATTTATTTTTACATTATTACATTATTTATAAATTATTTTGAAATATGATGATAAATGATTTAATCCTGAAAGGTAAGTTGCTTTACAACGCACAGTTTCAATAACACTAATAATGTATTCGCTTCCCGTTTGCGAATTTATTTTCTTGTAATATGTTTATTTTTCGTTTAAATTTACAAGAATTAACGTGTGTAATGCTTTTATTGTATCCATTAAGAAAGGTTTACCAGGTATTTGAATTCCAACTTTTTATTATATATCTTTATATGTTTTCTTTTTCGATATTTATCTTTACTAATGTTCGTCTTTCTGGTGCCAAGTGCATTTCAGATGTGCAAAATAGATTTGAAATTCTGTTTTCGTAGTTGTTATATTGTGAAGCATTTTTCAATGTACATTCCTGACAGTGTTCATAGTAAGTGTGGTAAAAGTGTGAACAATTTGGAGTTATTATTTATGTTTTACATTACTTGTTCGTGTGCCACATGTAAACATTAAATTACAAGTGGATATTACAGAAAGGCTATTAGTATGAAACAGCTGGTAGTCTAAACTAGGTTATGCTCATTGTTGTCTTTCATTTATATTCTTAGCATGACTTTACAAACTTAATTTATGCATTTTAATTCATTCCATATTATTTATTGTATGAATATATAATATTTTTTGTTATATTTGTCGTAATAACCACAGCCAACATTGCTCACGTTTATTGTAATAATTACAAGGATAGCCGTTCTGTGTGAAAACATATCTCGACTTATTGAAATCATTTACCTATGCATCAAGAAGAAATTAACAAAACGCATATGCAAATTATAACTGTGCAAATTAATAAAATGCACGTACAAGTTGCAACTGAACAAACTAACACAACCCAAACGTAAGGTGTGACTGAACAAACTTACACAATTCAAACATAAGGTGTGACTGAACAAACTAACACAACCCAAACGTAAGGTGTGACTGAACAAACTTACACAATTCAAACGTAAGGTGTGACTGAACAAACTAACACAACCCAAACGTAAGGTGTGACTGAACAAACTAACACAACCCAAACGTAAGGTGTGACTGAACAAACTAACACAACCCAAACGTAAGGTGTGACTGAACAAACTAACACAATACAAATGTAAGGTGTGACTGAACAAACTAACACAACCCAAACGTAAGGTGTGACTGAACAGACTTACACAATTCAAACGTAAGGTGTGACTGAACAAACTAACACAACCCAAACGTAAGGTGTGACTGAACAAACTAACACAATCCAAATGTAAGGTGTGACTGAACAAACTAACACAATTCAAACGTGAGATGTGACTGAACAAACTAACACAATTCAAACGTGAGATGTGACTAAAAAAACTAACACAACTCAAACGTAAGGTGTGACTAAACAAACTTACACAACTCAAACGTATGGTGTGATTGAACAAACTAACACAACCCAAACATAAGGTGTGACTGCATAAACTAACACAACCCAAACGTAAGGTGTGACTGAACAAACTAACACAACCCAAACGTAAGGTGTGATTGAAAAAAATTACAAAGTGCATGTTCAAAATGTAACTGAACAGATTAACCTCCCTCAGAATCTAATCGTTTATTAAACGAGGCTTTGAGCAAAAAATGCTCTGTTATAATTTAGGGTTTTCTACATATGTTTATTATATCGAGTTTAGACATTAAACAAGAATAACAGTTGCTGTGATTTTACTCAACTGCTATTTAGATGTAGTCTAAAATAAATTATGACTGGGTGACACTTACTGTGCGTGATAAAATTTATTTTTATCCAGACCAGTGAGTTTGAAAACATTGCAATTTGAGAGGTCTGTTCTAAAGAATTATATAGAACAAGTGTTCGTTTCCAATATTTAATCTTGACGAATTTAGTCTGTGATCCTAGGCGTGATTCATTGTCGTCTTTAATTAAATATAAAAACCTTACATACATGTAAACAGAAATATGAATTATTCTCAGCACATTAGTCAAAATAATGATACTTAACAACTATAGTAAATTAATTTTTAGATTTTATGGAAGGAAAGTAATGAAATACTGCCCTATCATAATGTGTATGATGTATTCTATTATATTTTAAATGTTCTTATTTTTCATTTTGAATGCTGTGGATAACCTACTTTTACGTACAAAATAAATTTTATTTAGCATTATAAAATAGAAGCACAAATTTAATATATTTAACAATGTAAAAACCAGCCCCACAGTGGCATAGCGGCACGTCTGTGGACTTACAATGCTAGAAACCGGCTTTAGATACCCGTGGTGGGCAGAGCACAGATAGATAATGTAGAGCTTTGTGCTTAATTACAAACAAACAATGTAAAAACGTAAAATTTAACACATAGTTAAAACTGTGGTAGAAGCAGCATAACGCTTAGCCTTTTGGGTTTCTTTTTTTTTTTGATTAACAGTGGATAAGCATTTTTGTGTAGTAAAGACAAAAAGTGTGTTTGTAGCTAAGCGCAAAGCTACACAATGGGCTATCTGTGTTCTGCCCACCACAGGTATCGAAACCCGGTTTCTAGCGTTTTATGTACGCAGGCGTACCGCTGTGCCACTGGAGGGCAAAGAGAAAAAGAAAAATTACCTTGATAGTTCTCAACTTTATTTACATATATTTTTATACATTGCCTAAGTTGAAAAAATTACCCATTTTGTAAGGTTGCGGAAACCTTTTAAGATATCTTAAATTACGTATTTGTTTAGTTAACCCTAAAATAACTGTGCATTGAAGAAAAAATATATATTAATTTGTTTCTTAAATAATATATTTATTTTATTGTTGTTAAATAATGAGACTTTATGAAAAACTGGATGGTCTAATAATATTATAAATAATTATCTCTTCAAATCTGATTTTTCGGTGTAGTAAAGCTTTGAAATTTCTTTTAAACACTTAATTTCGCAGTTTTTCTCGTAAAGTAAATATATTTTTTTGAAATATTGAAATTCTTAGATAAACATTAGCATCATTTATTTGACAAAGTATATTACTGACTGTTTACCTAAAGTTTAAAGTTGTATAACTATGGAAGAATATCAATGATACTTCTGGTACGTTATGCCGAGATAGTAATGTATCGAGATAGAAGTACTTTAAGCATGTAAATGTCAAAATAACATCTTGCAATCTAATTAAATTAATGTAATTTCTTTCTTGTTGAATAAAAGCAGTTAATATGTATACTTCACTTTTTCACTGGGTGCATTATGTTTAAAAAACATAAAACACACACCATATTAATATCGATAAGAATTATACATTGCAAATACCAACGAGGCCATCCACATAGACAATAGCTGTCTAGTAATGAAACAACAACATACCTACGAATCTGTATATGCACGTACGTATATATATATATATATATTCATATCGTGAGAAACTTGTATTTGTTCCCCATTTTGTCTGTTTTTTTTTCTTCTGAAGATAAGTTAAAAAGCCGTGCTATATCAGGCCTCATTGTACAATTTCCTTGAGGGCTAATATTATGAGCACACAGATAAAATAACGATTAGGATAATATATTTGATCTATACCTGTTACCACTACTGCTGTGTCAGATGTGACTGTAGGATCTTCCAGAACTACATCAGCTATGTAACCACCAAATCCAGTTCCAAAATTTAGTTGGCCAATTCAAGAACATATGATGGAGATATGTAATGGGAAGCATATCAGGCTTAGTTCGAAATAATTTCCAAGGTGAACAGGTGGAACGGTGAACAACAAGCTATTCATCTTACTTCCCATTTAAAAGGACCATCTTTAACAACATTAAGTAATTTTCCAACAGTGAGCTGTGACAACTACTAAACATCTGAAAATGCCTTATCCAACAGGCTCAGGCTGATGCACCAAAAGGAAGTATCTGCATCAAAGTTCTCAAACAGGGTATGGAGGAAAGAAAATACCTTAGTCGAACATTTAGAAGACTTGGAAAGTATTATCCAATTATCTTGTATAGTTAGTTAATTGTGAAATGATGGATTTGTTGGCACATGACCAATTTATAGATGCCATTACAGACGAGGATATGAAAATTAGGTTGAAGTAAAGTAGGTGTACATCTTTAACATATTTTCTCCAATTGGTGATGGAGCTTGAATCTGTTAAAGTTGTTGATCCAAACTAAGTATAGTTATATGTGATACCATGTTGTCCAGCTTAAACAGTGCCAATTTAGAGTTCGAGCATTTCCTTCTGGTGGTATTCCAGAACTGTTAAAAGCAGTAATAATTTGTATGCCGTTTTATAGGACACTGACATGATATACCACTATGAGCATTCATACAGTATTAAATGTCCTGCTTAACATGCTAGTATATACTGCTTCTGTTGAGCTCGCCTTCTCTTTCTTCAGGCACTTGAAATCTTACATATAGATACTATGACAGAGATGTAATTTACAGTATTGGCACTGTTGAACATCATTTATGACCTGGCTGTTGATACTGAGAGAGTACTGTGCACCTAGAATTCAGTGAACACTGCTGATTTTCCAGGACTGAACAAGCCAATAAATACATATTTAAGATGAAGTATTCTTTTCTTATTTTTAATTTATCAGTCTATTGAGTATCATAAATTATACGTTTAGCAGTAAGAGTGATATATACTCTTTCTATTCACTGTAAATTATTTGGTGTACTTTTTGTCTAAAATATGTGTAGCATATTAAGTGGATTTCTTTCTATGGGGGAATGAGTGGCATTGCACAATGCTGATAGTCCACTGCTAAGTACTAATAAATATTTCTTGGAAGATTATCTGATTTAGATAATATTTTGATGCTAGTTTATCTTAAATAAATCCATTGCAAGTGCCAAGTCTGCTGCAATAAGCGCTTTGTTTCTAAAAACATCATTCAGGGAAGAAAGTACAGTCTTGACCAAAATGTTTGCATATCTTGTAACAAATAAGATTGTTATTATTAAGATGGAATACCAATACACTTATCGTTGTCAGACTAGGAAATGTATATTATATTCAACATCTGCATATGTAATTTGTATAGTGAGACAGGTTCTATGAACATCATGAACGAGTTATTAGAACAATCTTATCAGATTCGTGTATAAAGATGTGTAATTTATCATTTCACATACCACAACAAAACCTTACCAAAACATATATAATGACAAAAGATAACATCAAATTATTATAACTAACACCTGTAACCTTATATCAGTTCATATTAAACATTCAGTACTTGTATGGCCCTCCTTGTACTCTAATAACCTTTGAAAGGAAAGATTATTGATGTAATTCACCATGATTTCATCCCAACTTGTCACTAAAAGACACTGAAACTCAGCTACAGTAGCTAGTTTAGGGTCGTGGTTAGCAATTTTCCGGCTCAGTTCTGCCCAATAGTTCTCAATGGGATTACAATCTGGATACTTTTCTGGTCACGGTACTCTTGTAACGTCTTCCTGGTCAACATAATCTGGTACACAGTACAATACACACACTATGGGCAGTGGCATTATCATTGTCATCCTCGAACACAAAGTTATTGCTAGACTTTACCTTAGCATATGAAAGAAATATCGTCTCCTTGTGATGCTTGTACGATGTACCATGGACGTTTTTCTGGGGGGATATGAAGAGAAGTTTTTCATCATGATTAATAGCTGCCCAAACATATACTGCACCACCTCCTGTGGGAAAGACAGCGTTCTTTCATCTGTTCTCCAGGCAAACGACGAACACGAATCTTATCATCAACTTTAACAAGCTGGAAACAGGGCTCATCTGAAAAATGACATGTTGCCGTTGTCCTAACTGTAAGTTGGCATGCAGTATTGCCTAAGCAACACAGTGATGGAGGTGAATTCTTATTAATGTTGGTTTGCAGATAGCTCTTCTTGCAAAATAATCGCATTTGGTCAGTTTCCTTTTCACTGTTCTTCTGGATACCCTAGAATGAATGTGTTCATGCCATTTCTGTCGTAAGATGTTGCAAGACTTCTATCGATATTGAGTTGTTATCCTGATCAAAACACAGTCATCTCTGGTAGTAGTTTTCAGCACCCACCAGTAAACGTTCCTGGAACAATGTTTCATGTATTCTGATGACATTTCAGGATTTGGGCTACAGTGCACTGAGGGTACCTTACTGTTCTGGCAATGTCTGTTTACTTCATACCATTTCTGGACAGTCGAACAATTTGATGCCATATAACTTCTTGTACAAGACCAGGTATAATTCTACACCAAGTACATAGAAATTGCAGGAAAAAAGTATTGATCTGTTTTGAAAAAGATTATACAAAAACACCCTTTTATACAAAACACGTATATATGTGTGTTTTGACAAACAAATGGTCAATACAACTTATACAGACCAGAATAACAACTCATAGATGTTTGTCTGATAATATGCTACCTTTTCTGTTACTACTCGGGCATTTACTCAATAGTTACTCCATACATTAAGACAATAACATCAATATAGAACATTATGCGAACATTTTGGTCAAGCCTATAGTACATTGGCAATTTCTGTGCCAAACAGGAACTTCATCTCTTGCACATGTATTTGTATTGGCAGGTACCAAACACCACCCAGCCCTAAAAGAACTGGGCTGACAACCAATCGCTTAGATGCAAGCTGAGTATTGTGCTTCCCCAAGTCAGTAGCCAGGCATGCGTTGAGCTCCTCTATTTTTCCTAAGCCAGGACAGTAGAAACCATAGTTTATCAATGATTCTCCTCTACTTGCTAAGCAGTCAGATAGAATGAGTAGTTTCACCTTTCTTGCTGTAATGGGTGACTCATTAACTCCCACATGAAATATGCTTTGGTACCCCTTACAGAGTGACAACTGGGAGAAGACATCATTGGCATATGCTGCATCAAAAACATCATGGGAAAACCTGGAAAAACTATGCTCACTAAGTGGCATCCAATGACTCCACAGTATGGAACCAAATAGTATTGGTGGTTTATTTATTCCCAGCGGAATATGAGTTAAACATGATGCAGGCTGGATGAAGTACATCATCCCAAATGCTGCTGTGAGCTTCTTTCTCCATTTTGACATATTTGATATTGCAACTTCAAACCTAGTCTCCAAAAATGCTGTCTCTGCTAGGATAAGAATGTCTCTCACACCATGATATTACATCATTTCACCTGGTTGTCTGTTAACAAACTTATCAACATGATTTTTTTATGCTGTACCAATGCCATAGTGTAGATGGTGGTTGATGTTTACATTTTCTTTGGGATACTTCTTTTGAGTACTGAACTTTGCCCAGTGGATAGTTGTTACTTCACCAAGATAAAACGTTGGCACAACTTTAGCACGACTGTATTTCATTCACAAAGTTGCTCTTCACTCAAGTGCTTGACTCAGTCAAACACTGGACTCAGCCAAACTTAGGACTTTGTGACTATTTCTGACGGTAATG